CCCTTTACCGTCTAAGTGTTCAAAGTACAAAAATACCCCTGCCATGATGATAGTGCACATTGCTGCAGTTTCTGCCATGATGATAGTGCACATTGCTGCAGTTTCTGCCATGATGATAGTGGACATTGCCGCAGTGTTACTACCGTCTCAGAGTTCAGAGCACAGCGATACCCCTGCCGTAATGATCGCGCACATCGCTGCGGTTCCACTATCGTCTCAGAGTTCAGAGCACAGCGATACCCCTGCCGTAATGATCGTGCACATCGCTGCGGTTCCACTATCGTCTCAGAGTTCAGAGCACAGCGGCGTTCAACTGCGGTTTCAACAATTAATTTAGCGTTTCAATCATGGCAATTTGTAGACATACACAGGAGAAAGAGCTTCACCGAAAGGCACGGTGGGCCACTGTCCCGAAATGTGCGATGGCTTACGTATGAGGAAGAGCGTTTGTCGCTTGTGGTGACAGCTGAGTCTGAGTCTGGTGACACTGAGTACCGGCCTCGTTGTGGAGGTTCAAGGAATGCGAACACGATGCTTAAGAAAACTGGAGAAATCCTTGCAACTACAGCAATGTTTTCTTCGGTTCCGTGACTTTCTTTCTCGAGTAAAGTCGGGATCCGGATACTCATTCAGCCTATTGTGTGGACACTGATCCCACTACCAAGGGGCCTCAAGTGTGGCATCCCCTTCCCAATCGGCGAACAACACGGCCGCCTACGATAGCCACCTCCACTTTTGTACCGGGGTGCAACACCTTCGGTTGAAGGCAGATGGAGGCGGTGCGTCGCCCGCTGCTCGCTTTTGGACGGGACCATCGATACTGATGCTGACCAATATACCACCGGACGGCAAGGCGGCATGGCCCATAACGGCCGTCCCTGCAGCGCAGTGAGTGCAGCCCCTGGCATACCCTCCGTGTGCAGATCCGTGGGTTCGCGTACCATGAACAGCAGCTGTATGACTGGTGAACTGCGTCAAGATAGCACCTGGCCACGGTGGTCAGGCTGGCGGAAGGTGGCTGCAGTAGCGCCTGGCGCGTTACAAATCCCCCGGACTATTTCGGAAAAAGGCGAAACTAGACGCTATCATTTCAAGTGACGCCGTTCTACTGCGGTGATGGGGCCAGGGCCTCCACAGCTAAGCACTTTGTGGGCATTCTGTCCTCGATGTCACCTTCACAAAACATGCATCAACTCAGCGCTTGCACTTTTAGCGCCAGCACTGGTATCTGTGACTTGGACGCTGCTTGCCGTCACAGCGGCGAGCCTAGTCGGCATGGGATCGATGAAACAGACGTGGGATGCGGGCCGCGCGCAGGTAACAGGGCAGCCCGCGCGTGCCCAGCGTAAGTCAGCCCGAGATGCGTCTACCGCCGCTGCCGCTGCCGGAGCACCTCACCCCACACCTGACGCGGCGACACAACAGGCGGGAGCTGGTGACGGTCTCTCACGCACGCGGCGCTCCAGACGTCCCACTCTTTTATGTGACACGCTAACCACCTAATAAAACGGCCTGTTTTGCCGATACCGCTGCGTCGAGTTCGCCGCACGCTCTGTTGTGCCGGCGCCGAGCGCCATCCGGCCCGGCCGGCGACGGCACACCATCAATCCGCCAGAAGCGGCCGCCGCCGCTCGCGGGCCCGAGCCGCCGACCCGAGCCGTGTCGGGGCCGATTGTCTGCGGCAGCGGCGGCCGACGCCCGCCCCCTCCGGCCCAGATTACCTGTCAGAAGTGAGGTGGGCGGCGGGGCCGTCTATTTCAGCCGCTGCCGCCGTGCAGTCGCGGCGCCGCGAGCGGGACGGCGTCGCCGGGACAGCTGGGCTGCGTCACCGGCGCCTAATTGAAACGCGGCGGAGACAGCCGCGGTCAGGTCCTGTGGTTACCGCGAGAAATCAATCGCAGCCCGGCCCCGGCGGGCGTCGATTGGGGAGTGTTACGGGCAGCCCGTCGAGGGAAGAGACCGCAAACAACCATTAGAGGCGGGCCCACCACCAGTGGCGGCTCTCGCGGGGCACGAAAGCCGGCGTCAGAGTCGGCAGACGCGTCAGCGGACAGCCCCTACACAGCCGACACCCGGTACAGCACAGCCGCCAACGGCAGGCGTCGGCCGACCACCGCCGGTCGGGTCTCAGCCCGTCCTCCCCCGTCACAGGGCAGCGCCGGCCTACCCTCATCCGCCACAAGGCAGCGTTGGTCTGCCCTCCTCCGCCACAGGGCAGGATCGGTCCGTCCTCCTCTGCCACAGGGCAGCATCGGCCCGTCCTTCTCCGCCACAGGGCAGCATCGGCCCGTCCTCCTCCGCCACAGGGCAGCATCGGCTCGTCCTCCTCCGCCACGGGGCAGGATCGGGCCGTCCTCCTCCGCCACAGGGCAGCCTCGGGCTGTCCCCCTCCGCCACAGGGCAGCGTCAGTCTGTCCTCCGGCACAGGGCAGCCTCGGTCTGTCCTCCTCCGCCACAGGGCAGCCTCGATCTGTGCTCCACCGTTATAGTGCACCATCGGTCTGTCCTCCTCTGCTACAGGGCAGCATCAGCCCGTCCTCCTCTGCCACAATGCAGCGTCGATCTGTCTTCCCACGTAGCAGGGCAGCGTCGGTGTGTGTTTCCCCGTTACAATGTAGCCTCGGGCTGTCCTCCTCCGTCACAGGGCAGCCTCGGGCTGTCCTCCTCCGCCATAGGGCAGCCTCGATCTGTCCTCCTCCGCCACAGGGCAGCCTCGGTCTGTCCTCCTCCGCCACGGGGCAGACTCGGGCTGTCCTCCGCCATAGGGCAGCCTCGATTTGTCCTCCGCCACAGGGCAGCCTCGGTCTGTCCTCCTCCGCCACAGGGCAACCTCGGTCCGTCTGTACTGCGTACAACGCCGGCTGCCGGACGTGCTGTCGCATGCGGGAAAAGCCTCGTACGGGGGCAGAGGGCAAGGCGCAGCGACGCGCCGGCCGAAGACGAGACAAAGGCTTCGGCAGCGTCACACACAACGCAACCAGATGAAGATTGCTGGTGAATGCTGAAATGATTTCTAGATTAAGGGATTGCGGGGCTCACTAAAAATGTTTGGGTTCCGCCCGCGCACAATTGCCACATGCTCTTCTGACACTGGCCCTCGCCGCGGGTCTCCGCTTTACACTGCGACAGTTTTACACCGCCAGAGGTCTCGGTCGGCCTACGCGTGGGCAAGTGATAGACGAATACGTGGCAGAGGTCTTTACCTTAACACAGTGCTCAGGGTCACTGCGCTACGGTTGAAAAAGCGCAGATGACAATATTTCAGTCATATGGGATATGTTGGGGTCAACACGAGCTCGGGTGAGGGGGGGGGGTCAAATTCACCCCCCGAAGGTTTTTCCAGAATGGTTTCCGACCGGCCCGGCGCAGCCGCATCCAATTTTGCATAGCTGTAGACAATTAAATAGCGGATCGTTTGGCATCAACAAATTAGATATACCTAGTAGATTAAGATGATGGTCGCGGACCTATGGCAGGTCAAAGTCAGGTCATGATTTCAGCAAAGTCAATTTCTACGAAGTCGTTCAATCTGATGCAACATCGGAGTGTTAGACGAAGCTGTACATCTCTGAGATGCTTTCTTAGGCAACACCAATATTGAATGAGCAGACCACGTTGACCTAAGGTCAACGTGGTCTGCTACAAAGGCACAGGTGCAAAGGTCAGACCAAGGTCAAAACTGACCTGTTTTTACTAGATACCTAGATACCTAGACCTTGCAGTGTGGGATAGTTTCTGGTGCTCATTTCGAATTTACTGATAGCAGAAACCGCATTATACATCTTCCATGGACTTCTTAGAGGTCACAATAGGTAATTCACCTAGATCCCGGGTCAACATTTTGTTTTAAGACACATACTGCCTAGCATATCTTTGTCGCTTATTCAAATGCAAAACTCAGAGTAGTCTTGCATGATTTTGGTCACCATGACCTTTAAAAGGTCAAACAAGGTCACCAACCCTAACTGGGCATGCGAATTTTTGCTTAGAAACAGTTATCTAGGTTCTGGGGGCACTTTGGAGACCAAACTGGAAGTTGACCTTATTTGACCTTATTTGCCCCGGAGGTCATAACCTAGGGACCTCAAACATGACCCAAGTGAGTTCACGTACATACAACACACCCTGTGAATTTGGTGTCTACCCCTCTTAGTTCCCGAGATCTCAGGGGGGGGGGGGGGTCAAATTGACCGCCCACCACACCCAACCGAAGGGTATCTGGCAGGCAACCCGTGCGCGTGTTAAAAAACTGCGCCTCTACAGGAAGTTTGTGCTCGTCCTTCGGAAGGCAAATTTTCAAAACTCACTTAAGGCCGTAGCCGTTATGTGGTAATGGGCATAGCAGTGCGGAAAACAGCCGACCTGAAAGTCCCGAGGTACCGGCATGATAGCACTGAAAAGCAAAGCATACGAACGAACCTTGCTTGATTCCTAAATCATGAGTCCGGGCGGCCTCACCGGCGCGTGAAATTGCCGATGCGGCCGCTCAAAAAGTTGCAGAGCATTATGTCATTGTATCGGGGAGCAAGCAAAATCTTTCTAGCTGCACAGGCAGGATCCTGCGCCATTTCTCAATGATTCATATATTGCACGGGATATACTATCTTACACCTTGCTATAATCATAGGGGGGAACTTCGAAGGTCGTTTCATTTTAGTGGCGCCCGCATTACCTCAGTATATTACGCAATCACCTTAGGGCACTGAGAGCCCAAGCAAGTAGTGCTAGAGGAAGATATTGTCGCTGTCCTGGGGTCGGAAAGCTGCTTCTGGGGACCACAGCCATCTCCTCTTTCCCCGAATTATAATTTTTTGTTTAGTCCCAATTATTTCAAAGCTTCATGCTGAGGTCCTCCTAACACATGAACATAATCCGCTCCACCACGCCCACGCTCATTCCCCACAAATACCGCGTGTTTGCAGGCGGTCTCCAGCCCACACGTCCGCCCCGCTCAGCGCCGACTGCCAGCGACAGGCGCCGGGCCGCCGGGCACCACTGACCTTGAAGGGCACGGCCGAGGGGCGCAGGTCGTACGCCTGGAAGCGGGAGCGCAGCGGCGGATCGAGCGGATTGCCGATGTAGCGCGGCACCGGCAGGCCCAGCGCCACCACGCGGAAGTGCTCCGAGACACGCACCAGCCGCCAGGCCTCCAACTCAGCCGTCGTGTGCTCCTGCAGCGAAGCGGCGCCGGTGAGGCGGTCACCCGCGGCCGGCCGGGAGGTGGCCTGCTCCGCCCGGGCTAGCCACAGCGGCGGTGGGGCGGTCACCCGCGGCCGGCCGGGAGGTGGCCTGCCACGGCCTGGCTAGCCACAGCGGCGGTGGGGCGGCGGCCCGCGGCCGGCCGGGAGGTGGCCTGCCCCGGCCTACACAGCAACAGCAGCGGTGAGGCGGTCACCCGCAGCCGGCCGGGAGGTGGCCTGCTCCGGCCGGGCCAGCCACAGCGGCGGTGTGGCGGCGGTCCGCGGCCGGCCGGGAGGTGGCCTGCTCCGGCCGGGCCAGCCACAGCGGCGGTGGGGCGGCGGTCCGCGGCCGGCCGGGAGGTGGCCTGCCCCGGCCTACACAGCAACAGCAGCGGTGAGGCGGTCACCCGCAGCCGGCCGGGAGGTGGCCTGCCCCGGCCGGGCCAGCCACAGCGGCGGTGTGGCGGCGGTCCGCGGCCGGCTGGGAGGTGGCCTACCCCGGCCTGCACAGCAACAGCGCCCTCGTCTGAGCAGCAGCCCATCTCCTCTTGCATGACCCGACCAACAGCACCGGCACGAAATATCAAATCGAATTGATGTTTCAATGCAGTCCAGATACCGGAATACTTCGGCTATACAAGACGCAATCTTCATGATACTTGCATATCGTACACATTCAAGTGAGCACCAAATTTAACAAAAACCACGTTTATTTCACCGCATATAAGCACCGAATTTCCTTTTCAGGCGTATTCGACGTGTGTTGAATAAACCTTATGGGATGCAAACAAAACAGCTCGTCAGACTGACTTTCAGTAGACTGTCGTATTTGGCCGGGTTAAGCAGAAACCGGCCGTCCTCCAGCTGCATCTCCCGGTTCTCCATCAGGTTGTTCAGCACCGGCAGCACGTTCCGCTCCGCCTTCTCGATGCCCTCCAGCACCAGCACCCGGCCCAGGGTCGCCGCCCGCACCGCCGCCTACCGGCGGCACATCATACTAAAGCTTCTCGAGATGCCCGCCCATCACGGCACACGTGATATCACGATACCGCAATGGATTTGCGGAAGACATAAATGGGTATATTACATACTGCAGTTCTGAGCAAAAAAAAAGCGTTTTTGTCCAAGTTCTCGACGTTCAACAAATTTGCGACGGTGTACTTCCGCAATTATCACAGCACTCCGCTGTGTGGGCACACTCAAGACCAACGCCGCATCAGAAGGACAGGACCAATGGTTTCGCCATCATTCATCACTGCACGGTTCGGGCGCTCCGCAGCCGCCTCGCCGTCTGCAGGTTCCGGCCTGAGCGCGGTGCCCAGAGCGGCCCCGGCTGACCTGGTCGACGTAGCTGGCGGTGCCGCCCCGGATCTCCCTGCGCTGCTTCAGGTCCGACTCGGTGGTGTCCCGAGAGAGGGCCACGTACTCCACCTCTCGCTGGGTCACCTGGCGGGCGGGCGCGCCACCACACCGCGGTACAGTCATCGGACGAAGCAAGACATAAGAGGGAGGAATAAAGGAGGCTGAAAG